TTGAAAGCAAATGTTTTAGACTATTTATAATTATTTAAAAGAATATCATGTAAAAAAATATATATCTAATAAACGTTAAAGAAATCACCCTAAATATTTCCTATTTTAATAATTTTTCTATGTTTACTCAATAAAGGTTGAATTCTTTAACGTTTATTAAATGCTTTATTTACATTATATTCTTCTAAATAATTGTAAATAATCTAAAATGTTTACTTTCAAATTTATAAAATTATATTCATAGTTTTTATTATCATATTCTCATCCTAAACAAATTAAAACATTTTTCTACATTTAATGTATTTTTATTTTGAAAATGGACAAATTTCATAAAATACCCAGTTAGAAACCACCACCTTGGGAATTTGTATAAGGTTTAATGTCATTTTAACGCCGTTTAACGGTTGTTAGTTGAGGAGACTGAATAGAGCATTATCTTTAATCAACGAGTACCATCTTGGTAATTTAGTTAAGAGTAAATTTCATAAAAGTTCCCCAGTTATAGGTTGTTTTACATATTTAGTCCCTACATATAAAATATTACTAAGAACATGGATAAAATTGTATATTCATACTACTCTCTCCTCAATTAAGCTTACTCCCTCCTCTCGTATTCTTTCCCAAACTCATCGCTGAGTTTGAAGCTCTAAACCCAAAACTGAAATGATCATTCCTCTCTCAATTATTAGTCTTCCTGGTGGAACTTAAAATCAAAACCAATAACCTTTATCGATGAGTTTTATCGGTTAGTCTCAAAAAATTGCTAAGAAATAAACATTAAAACTCATCAATGAAGGTTACTCGTTTCGAATTTGGGTTCCACCAGTTAGACAAACAATTGAGAGAAGAGTGATGATTTTAGTTTTGGGTTCAAAGCTTCAAACTCAACGATGAGTTTGGGAAAGGAGTGCGAGGGGGGGGATGAAGCTTAATTGAGGAGAAAAAAGAGTGTGAATTTACAATTTTATCAACATTCTTAACGGATGTGTTAACAAAGGACCATACGTGGAAATGAATATAATGATTGGGGACTAAATCAGTAATATTTGATATATGTAGGGACTAAATATATAAAACGACCTATAACTGGAGACCTTTTATGGAATTTACTCTTTAGTTAATCTTGGAGACTAATTTGGAAATACACATAGTTATTGAATACCATTTTGGGAATTTATTTTTATGAATATATCACTGCCTCTCAAAATGTATTTCTTATTGGAACCACCTACAAAATCTAAAAAATTTTAAAATAGTTTATTTAAAAATTAAAATTATATATATATATATATATATATATATATATATATATATATATATATAAACTAAATCAAATGTTCTACAAAATAAGAGTTGAAAAAAATATTTTATTTTATTACAAATAAATAAAAGTTATCAAAAGACCGTAACGGTAAAGAGGTTAATTATTTGGGACGGAGGTAGTATTTACTTCGTATATTGTTAAGAAATCTTTCTAGATAGGAGTAAAAAAAGTTTGAAAATATCAAAATAAGAGTCCTAGGTCTTTTAAGACTAGAACAAGAGTATAACGACAGTGTAGTGTAAGAGTATGTATTTGTAACGCCCCAAACATACCCTAGAATTATTATTGAATAAATAATCAATTAATCAAATTTGTTTTGATTAAAATAAATTATTGTTGGGCTTTGGGCCGATATGAAATGTGTTTTGACATCCAATATCAAAATCTGGATAAGTCTCATAGAGATAAATCCAGTATGTGGACTATTTGTGTGGTTTTGATTGGGAACCTGAGCACAGACCCAAATCAAGAGTAAATAAAGAATTTGTTTAGAATGTAAATATTGAAATGATTTCTTAAAATAAATCATGAGAATAACTGATGTGAATTAAATGAGAGAACCTTTTATGAGAAAGGTCAATTAAACAAATTTTGACTCTGTCAAAGTCAAACACCCAAAAATATGATGTCGGAAAAAGTGTTACAAATAAATATAAAAATTATATCGTTGGATAGAGTTTAACTGTCCGATCGCAACGGTGCAAACGGAATTGAATTCGGAGAAAGTTGGACCAAAAAGTGTTCCCCGACTGGGACAAAATTAGTCCCAATCAGGGACTTGCGTCTGGGAATCCTTGCAATCGCCGCTCCCTCCACCGAGACGCCAGAACAGGGAAACGAATGTCACCAAACCTGTGTCTTCTTCCTCTCCACTCCACTATATAAACCTCTCTAAACTTCACCATTTTTCACCATTCTTCTTCTAAGAGATAGCTAAGAGTGTAGAGAGTGGAGTAGTGCTGTCAAGAGAGCTTCCCGTCGCCGGAGATATGCACAATCCTCGCCGGAAGTTTCACCAGAAAAACTTCAAAACCTCCATTACGCTTCGAGGTAAGCCCGTAGATATATCTAAAGATTGGAATGTTCATATAGGTTGTTTTTGCGTTCATAAATGGTCATTTGGTTGAGTTTTGTGTTTGACATGTTTGAAGAACCGATAATCATAAATCTTAAATTTGATGTTAAAATCATGAATTAATTATACTAAAATGATCTATGAACCTTGGAGAACATTTCTATATAGTTTAATTGAAGTTTGGTAGTTAAGAATGATATTCCCGAAAATGGACCGAAGGTAGAAGACGATGAACAGTAACCGACGGACCGATCTAGTAAGATGGATCGATCACCGCAGTAGAAGAATTTCTACTGGGTGGATCGATCACCTGGGAGGAAAATCGTGAAGAGGATCGATCCTCCAAGCTGGATCGATCCCCCGACCTGAATGCTCCGAAAATGCTTCTGAAAATGTTATTTTTGAACTCAAAAATCCTATTTTTGATACCAATTAATTATGAACAGTATAATTAAGATTTTGTACAATAAAAATGATGTTTTTGACACATAAAATCTTATGCGATGCATGACGGTAAGTTCGGGTGTTAACACTCGAGACTATGCCGCTAATTGTTATTAAATGTTATATTGAATGATTATTATGATTGTGACCAATTATGAATGATAAACCTACTGATTAGAATGATTATTAAATCATAATTAAAAATGAATATAATAATGATCACAAAAATGGTGTATATTATTAAGGATATCTAGAAGAACTCTAAGATATACCCACTTGTATACTGATGATAATTAGTAAATATCTAGAAGAACTCTAAGATATACCTCCTTGACCAATTCATAATTCGGGGTTAAAATGTATGTACGGGATCCAGAACGGATATCACCCACCCGACAAATCACTGTTCAGTTGGTACGTAATCCACATGACTCATAGGGTGGATTATCGATTCTTGTGTTCTCCATTAAACTATTTATAGTTTAAGGGCCTGGTTAGAATTACTGCCTTAGACTAGGAATGGCTAAGAGCTGAATATAAAATGATGTGGCCTTAGGTTAAGAATAATTTAAGAGCATTATTGATATATTGAATATCAAATGACTTGGAATAAAATATTGAAAATATTATGAATGTTTGAAACATATATTGTGGCCTTACATTCCAAGGATAATCTCTTGCATCTACTACAATACTTTTGGGAACAATCTCGACATATTTCCAAAAGGAGGGGTATTCCCCCATACATTTCTTACAAGAAAAAAAAGAAAAATTTAGGACTTTGTGAGCAACTGAGGCCCAGAAAGGACGGAGGATCCAGGGGAAACCGGCAAGGTTGAAAGGTAGTTCTGCAGCTGTATAGGCCGACAGAACTCCGATCACCGGACGTCCAAAGCGACCACCTTTCTTCTCTATCATGGAACTGGAGTGGTCGCCCCCAGCCTCGGCAAAAACCCATCGTCCTTCTCCTACAAGGGAAGGACGGGGGACAGCTCACTTTTCTGTGAGCCCCAATCGGCATCACCTAGATGAGGATGCTGACCCTGAGGCCGCACGAGCTACTCCGGATCGCCTGGGAGCCTTCCGGTGGGCGAGCGACCAGTAGGGTGTGGGATGGAAGAACCCAGTTCTTCCCCCACCACCACCTCATCTTTAGGTCGCATCGGCAAGTTGGTGCGACTTCCGTTAGTCCATCGCTCCAGACTTGCGTAATATGCGCACTCATGCTCTAAGAGGGGTAAGTGCTCATCGTGAAAGCTTCCCCAAGCCATGCATTGCAGAGAGGGCCTTGTACGCCTCGCTGAAATCATCATAAGGGTTTGGTGGAACCGGTGGCGGTTTCACCGACGGCCATTGTCGACGGAGCAACTGGCGGCAGAATTCGTAGGGGTCTAGCCCCCTAGTCGTTGGAGTTAACTGATCTGGGGGAAGAGGCAGGTTCCGGTGAAGAAGGAGCCGGCCCGTCAGAGAGATTCAGAGAAGTGGGGAGTCCTACAAACATGACAAAAACGGAGGAAAGGAAAGTATTTGATGATGGAAGAGAGTAAAGACTCGGAGGGCTATAAATAGCCCTGGGCGAAGAAACCGAAGGGACGGATGAGTCCCAAGGCAGCTGAATCGATAAAGCAGCCTTGAGCCGTGCGAAGGTCCAATCAGAGACAGCAAGGGGCATTGGGTCCGCGGGGCGGCACGCCGGCCAATCCAGGGTTTGGGCCTATTGGGCTGGGATTAAAAGCTGGGCTCAAAAAAAATTATTTATGTTAGCCAGCTAAACCAAAGAAGAGAGTACTGAAGTAAGGCGCAGGGAAAGGGAAAAATATGGTAAACCCAACAAGTCAAATAACATAGGAGCACTATACCAAAACGACAAATCATCCCAAAGAAAAATCACAAGTGTTTACAAAATTGAGAGAGGAACAGGGGAGATTAGACGCTCGAGGTGGGGTTTCCACCCGCCTTGGACGTGGCTGAGCTGGCCCCTGGATTCTGGTCGCCCTGACCGTCTCCCTCTTCTTCTTCTTCTCCTTCAGAGGCACTCGAGCTGCCTCCGTCCAAGTAAGGGCTGGGGTCGAACTCGGCCAAGGAGCGACAGGGAGGAGGAAAGCCGAGATCGGGGAGAGAGAATTCTTTGGGGAGTTGAGCCAGACTGTCACGGAAGACCTGTTCAGCGCGGAAGAGTCCACAATTGAAGGACTTGGTCCCCTCTTTGACCATCCATTGGGCCCCAGGTTCAGTTTTGAGTCATTCGGCTGTCAGCTTATCCATCCGCTCCAGGGCGACCATTGTAAAGTCAGGAGAGGACTTAAAGGATTCTACCGCTCCCTCTGCGTGGCGGGCCCGGTCGCTCTTCTCCATCTCCAATTGCTGGATCTGGTCAGACTTCTCCCCTTCCAACTCGACCACGCGAGCAGAAACAGATTCCACCTCCAAAGACAAGGAAGCTTTATCTGCCTCAAGAGCGATGTAGCGGTCCTTTTGGGAGGCTTTCTCTGTAACACCCAGGCCCCCACCCTGGCCGTAAGTGTTCGCTCATAGGATTGTAGACTGACCCCACAAACCAACACAAGCCTTTCCCGCGCACTTTGTCCTCACTCGTGCACGCCCAAGGAATTTCACAGGGGGTCACCCATCCTAAAATTGTTCCAGGTCAAGCATGCTTAACTTTGAAGTTTCTAGGTGATGATCTCCCGAAAAGAAGATGAACCTTGTTGGTATGCGTAGTACTATCAATCCCTTTTGAGCCCTTCCATTCCCATCTTGATACGGGGTATTACATTCACCCCCACTTAGGAATGCAACGTCCTCGTTGCATCCTATTTTTTTTAAAACCCATAGATCTTCCCCGCTAGGTGAACTAAGCTCTTTTTGGCTCGTCACGGTCGCAGGGTTGCTCTGATACCATTTGTAACACCCCGGCCCCCACCCTGGCCGTAAGTGTTCGCTCATAGGATTGTAGACTGACCCCACAAACCAACACAAGCCTTTCCCGCGCACTTTGTCCTCACTCGTGCACGCCCAAGGAATTTCCCAGGGGGTCACCCATCCTAAAATTGTTCCAGGTCAAGCACGCTTAACTTTGAAGTTTCTAGGTGATGAGCTCCCGAAAAGAAGATGCACCTTGTTGGGATGATTAGTACTATCAATCCCTTTTGAGCCCTGTAATTCCTTCTGCTTGGCTTCCGCTGCCTTCATCGCCTCATCCGAAGCCGCTTGACGGCCCCGCTTCCTGCCAACGACCTCAATCATCCCCAGCGTAGCCTACGCCAAGGCATAAAAGTTAGGAGCGTAAGAGGGAGGAATAGTGGAAAGGAAATCAAGGCGAGTACCTGGCTAAGTCTCAAGAGGACCATGTTGTCGAGGTCGTCCTCAGAACCAGCCGAGATGCGGGCCTGGTCTTCCGCGGGCAAGGTGATCAAGGTCTCCAGCTGCACGTCCCCTAAACTTTGGGGTGGGGGGGGGATGCTAAGCCTCGCCGAGCGACCCTCGATCGCCACCTCGTAGGTCACTACGGGCGACGAAGGAGGTCGCTCCAGGACAATACCTTGGGACGGCCCAGCAAGGTCGCCACCTGGCATCAGAGGGTGCAGTGGGGAATGGGCCGCCATTGTGCCCGTTTCTGGGGCCGCATCATCTTGATCCTCCACCACGATTACAGCCAGCTCTTGAGAAGAACTATCCCTTCAGTGGGAGGAAGTGCGCTTGCCTTGGTCCTTCGCCTCCCTCTTCCTCCCCACCGTGAAGCGACTGAGCAGGAGATCGCTGTCCATATCTTCTCCTACAGATCAATATTCACTACTACACAAAGTATATTTCACACTTCCCTTTGGACAACAGATATACATAAACCGCTGGCTAAAGGTAAGGAAACTGATTCGGGATCTCATTAGGCGCAAAGGTCTTAGAGGCAAGTTATTTAAATACTAATACACATCAGATTTCTTAAGATCCGCTTTCTATAGTGTACTTCTACTCAAAACCGTTCATCCCTTTACTAGGTCAGATCGAAAATAGGTGATGGCTTCACTGGAACGGCAAAAAACATTCATCCCTCCATAAGATCTATGCAAAACACTTTGATGAGTTTGATCTCTCTTATTGATGCTCGATGCTTTGGGAATATACAAATTACTTAGGTTTCATGTTGTTAGGAAGCCATTCGTCCTCCTCACACAGTAACACAACATATTTGGTAGGTTGCTAATCCTTTACTTTGTTTTAGCTCGTGTGCTAGTTCATTCAACCCTATGATTTTGTTTTTGCGATCCGCTCAATTTTGATTTGTACAATTAAGGCTTAAATTTCTTAAACAAGTTTATATCATCAATGTTATTGACTTTAAATTCACATCTTGCAGATACTGTCAAATTTGAGGTGTGAGAATATTGAATTGAGAATGTCTTTGAAGAATCCATTCCCAAACACAATTGAAGGTGCACGAGGTTTTAATTGAACTAATTTTTTTAAGCTTTTTGGATTTTAATTGAACTAATTTTTTAAGCTTTTTGGATTTTTTAGTGTTGTAGTTGTCCATTGTCCTTATGGGTAATCATCCTTTGTTTGTCTTAATGAGTAATTGTCAAGCCTAAAATGTAGAGTTTATTTTATTTGGGTAACTAAGAGTGTCAAGGAACCAACTCAATCAAAAGCTCAAGCTTGTTCTTGTGACCCATTTTTTTATATACTCTAACAAAGAGGAATGTAATACAAAAAGAAGGAATATAACTCACGTCAAGCAGAACACTATGTTAGAAGAAAATTGAGGCAACTCTTGTTACTTGCTAGGAAACATTTTTCTAAGAAAAATACAAAGAAAAATCGTGTATAGGAGCATGTGTGTGATGCTACTGAAGTTGACTTAGCGCGTAATGACATGGCTTGTAGGCTCATTAAATCAATATGAAGCAAATATCTTATTATGTAATATGCACTTGACAGGTATATTGCATTACTTTAGGAAATCAAGTAGTGGGTGCAATTTGTCTAATTTTAAGTTCTCTTACGAATTTTACCATACACCTCCTGTATCTGAGTTATTTACTATAAGCAGATATGGGTATTTCGGATATAAGATCAGAAAATTTTAGAAATTGAATTAGATCATGAGTGGTAGTTCAATCATAAAATTTGGGGAAAATGCCATCAAGTTCTACATGACTTGGGATGTATATTTAATTTTATTTAACAATATTTACGTAGTATTTGTTAAATATGAGAATCATCGCCTTCTGTTTTGATAAAACCTGAAATTGTAACTTGGGTTAGTACAACCATGCTCATTGTGATAGTTAACTAATTTTTGATAAAGATATGTTCTATCAAATAATGTGATAGATCTTCTCTTTTCTAACAAATAAAAAGAAGATTCTAGGTCACTTTTTTCTTTCATAGAAATTGGATTGAACACGTGGTTCAAAGTTTTTATCACTTTTAGTGTTGTGATATCTTTCGTTTTGTTCGATTTAACTTTCTTAGGCGAGTTAATGCTTTAGAATTTATTGTAGGTGTTAGGTTTTTTACTCTCCACTATTGTAGGAGGTTGGTGCTTATAAGAATTTAAACTGGAGGAAGCAACTAGTTATGTTGTAGCAAACTGATTTAACCAAAATTCAGCCCTGTTTTGTTCTTTATCTTCAATGTTTCACATTACTGTTTCAATTATATTTGATTTTAATTTTGAAATGATGAATGTTGAATACTTTTAAAATATACAACTAGCAAATCATCTTTTGATGTAATATATAAATAGGATGCTAAAGATAGACGATTCTAGTAGCTATAGACCTTGCTATCATGGAGGTATGTTTGTTTCCCTAAATAGTTTTTAACTTCTTCATATTACATTGTTTTTGTTATCCGGCCTTTGGATTTTCATTTTTTTTCCAGTCAGCGAGGGCTAAGATAACAACTTATGTTGAACAAGCTAGATTGCTATCTGGAATTGCATTACATGCATTTCCGCCCTCATAAAATTTTGAATCCTTATCAAAGAAACTTGATTTCATTTTGCATGTACTCAAAAGTGTTTTCTTTGATGTTCAGTTGTCATCCTATTTACGTTAAATGTAGACTGCAAATGGTTTTAAAATCAAAGTAGCTTTATTGCATCATAGAGTTTTGCTTCATTTGATAAAGAGGTTAATTATATCGGTTCTTTCTCCTTGTGATGTTGTCTTGTAAGCAGATCTTTAATAGTGTGCTTTATGTTCTCCATCACAGATCAATGCGTGAAGCCTTGAATTCAGCACTTGATGATGAGATGCCAGCAAATTCTAAAGTTTTTTTTATGGAAGGCTTTAGGGTGTTGCTTGCTGATGGTAGAAGGGGAGCTTTGACAGAGGGAAAGCTGGAGAGTGCGTGTAGATAGAGGGGAAGTTTTGATGCATCTAGTTGGCTAGGCCTTTATTGACTTAGGATTGGAAGTTTCTTCCATTTTAGTTTGTATTACTGACTTATTGTTATTTTATTTCTTCAAGGATGGGTTTTGCTTTTTCTATTGATTTTTGGGATTCTTATACTCTCGGAAATGTCTTTTTGTGTACTTGATTTGTAAGGAATGATTCTTTTACTCTATAATATGTGTGCTAGTACATTTCTAGAAATGGATACTTTAAAATAATAATATTATTTAAGACTAAAAACTAACTTTACGAATCGCACAAATATCCGCTGAATAAAGTCAAGACTTTACACAACGGATATTTATCCGCTGTCTAAAGTTTACTTTACACAGTGGATAAATATCCTGACTTTTCCCATCGGCGGCATGCATAACGGTTGTTATCCGCTGTGTAAAGTCTAATTTATCCTCTGTGTAAAGTTTCTTTTGTAGTAGTGTATGACATGCATGGTACGTATACAAAACTCTAGAATTGAGATATAGGTTGAAATAATTTAGTAGCGTTTTTACCATTTTTGTAGAACTTATTATTTTTGTAACACTATCCGTCCCGCGAACCTGGTTCGCCACGGCCCAATGAGCCAGAGAGGTTACGGAGATGGTTTTTAGGACCACCTACAAGAAACTCCTTGAATTACTTTTGTAAATGGAAACCTTTGATGTATTTATTAAAACTGTTGGGAAATTAATTCCCTTAAAGAAGATCTTTCATGGCAGAAGCAATAAAGAAAATAAACGTTAAGTCTTAAACGAAGTAAATGCAACAATGGTGGGTTCAAGCCCAAAACAGTTTATAATATGAAATGGAAAATAAGTCGGGTCCACACCGTTGCCCCGATCTCCCAATCGTTCGGGTCAGGCTCCATGATCATCTCGCCTACCTGCGTATAGCAAAAACAATGCTATACGCTCAGCATAAGTTGAGTGGAAATCCAACAGTAGAATGCATAGTACAGTTCATATTGATATAAACATAATCGTACCTGTACTAAAGTACGAGATACCACATATAACTTTGATAAATAAGAGTTGCATAAAATAAACAATACGATGCCAAATAATTCATTATCCTAAAACATGCATCTAGGATGTACATGATGAAATGAATGCATTGCTTGAAAGAAGGTTGAGTTCAACGCATACATATATGTTTGATTCCGTATTAGTTTTCTTCCGAAAATGTTTTGTTTCTTAACATGATGGCCTTGGGTTCAGAACTGGCTGATAATCGATTGTTCATTGATGATAATCGATTATCATGCATGGCAGATCCTGTCCCAAGGTTCTGCAGCCTCTGATAATCGATTGTCAAGTTGGTCTGTCCAAGAGTCCAAGTTCAGAGAGGTCTGATAATCGATTATTTCTCTGTGATAATCGATTATCAAGTAAAACCAACTCTGAATCAGGAATTCGCAGGGGCTGATAATCGATTATCACTTATGTGATAATCGATTGTCATATTTTGCTAATTAAACGAGAAGTCCAGCGTGGCCTGATAATCGATTGGCGTGACCTGTTAATCGATTATCAGAGCACGCAGGTTCCCAGTTTATGTGTCCAATTGTAATCAATACGTTGGGAGTTTTTAAATGAACGTTTGTGTTTTCATGTAAAGTGGTCTATGGGTTTACGAGGTATCAGAATGTCTATATTAACAAGTTTGTAATCGAATAAGTCTAAGTAACGGAGAGGCCATGATAATGCAGACACACGTAGGTTTAGCCGGATAATCCTATGAATATAACGATATGAATATACTACGAGCTCTAAAGTTACAGGGCAACGTACTCACCTCTAAATCCAGGGGTTGACGGAAGGTACGGGATGAACGAACGGACGACAAATGATGAACCTCGAACGACGAACGGCTTCTCGCGTAAACCTCCTTCTCTTCTTCTTCCTCATCTACTCGTCGGAACCGCCTTCCTTGGCTGTTGCTGAGAGGGAGGGAGAGAGAGTGTTATAGCTTGAGGGGGTTACAAAAATGATGAGAGGAAATGATGGGAGAAAGGGTTATTATAATGATAAGGAGTAATGGAATATTTATGGGAAATGAATGTGGGTGTGCGTGGTGGGATTCAACTGGGTTGTTGTTGTTGTTGAATGTGGGTGTGAGTGTGTGGCATGGGAGAGGATTAAATGGGGAGTTATCTCCCTAAACCTTATTCCGTTGTGTAAAATATGACCTGAACGGTATGCGTTTCCCCCCAAACTGATCCGAATCGAGATCCGTTTACGTTTCTGGAATTAGACAGTCAAAATGAATTTTATGGTGTGATCAAATAATTTTTCTGAAGACTTTATTTTTCCCAACCTCGGCCCGAGTTAGTAATTAATTAATTAAATTAATCAATTCTAATAGACCGAGTCGCAGGGTGTTACATTTTTCACAGAAGATCTCAAAGGTTTGTGTTTGATTGAGATTGAAAAGTTACTTAATTCAAATAGATGATCCTTATAGGAGTTTAGTGATATGCCATTCCCAGATGACAATCCACTTAATAGATTTTAAAATAATTTCTTGGTAGAGGAGTATTTGAACTATGACAAAGAAAAGTTTTCATATGATCTTAAACAATATATATTTACAATGAATGAAGACTAGAGAAAGATATATGATGATGAATGCTTTATGTTTTGCTATGAGTATGAAGCAAAGTCAATATCAAACATTATCATTTGTTGGATTATTTTTAACCAAGTTGAAGTTCACTCATGGTCAACTTTATGTCGTTTCATGAGTGAAAATCAAGATAGGGTTAAAAATATTAGTTCTAAATGATAATAAAAATCCTTGCAATCACACAAAAAATGTTGTATTCCCCGAAGGCTTTCAAAAAAATATTGATTTAAAAAAGACTTTGAGGTGTTTACTTTTGAATTTATATTTAAGCATTTTCATTACCAAATATAATATTAAATGCTAAATTATTTGGTTTACTTTGATTTTAATGTCTACAGTGTTAAAGAGTGCATTAAATATATTTTTATACACGCATTTAGAAATATTACACTGAACAAAAATTTTGTTTGATCTCGTTCTTGGCACGAATTAAAATACTAGTATAAATATATAACTACACAATATATTGTACAAATATATTTTTTCGTATATTAATTGAACCATTTATAATTCGATCATGATGTGTATTGTAACAGTTACTCCCTTCGTCTAAAAACTTTTGGTTGGGCCGGGGTAGAGGGTCTACCAAGAGGTTACTAGATTAGGGTGAGGAGTAAGAAGCATAAATTTTTGACTAGCAGAGACCTAGTTTGGTTGGTGTCATATTATGACAACAAAACCTAGTTGTATTTATTTAAACGTAGAGGTTATTTTGGAGTAATATTTCACAAAGTATGAAAACAAATAGGGAAATGCTTGGTTCACAAACTCAAGCTTCACAAACTTCACAAGTTTACCATTTGTGAACTTCAATAAAGAAAATTAAATAGTCTAAAATAATTTTAAAATTAGAATTTAAATCATAAATAATAAGTTTGTGAAGTTTGTGATCCTTCTGTTTGTGAACGTAGCATTGCCCAAACAAATACTAGTCGTGCATCAAAACAAAAATAATTCCTTTCTTTCCATAATAAACAACATATGTTTTCTTTAGGCGGACACACTTCCTCAAAATAAAAACACATTGCCTTTTTAGCAAGGAGAATATAATCATCATTAATATCAGTCTCTTTTAAAATCCGATTCAATCATCCATTTTCAATAATTTTCACACATTTCGTATCCAATCAAAGAGGATTTTAATTATGTTGAAAACAATAATTATGTTGAAAACAGTAACTATGTGTTTTACTCGTATTTAACATGTAGTATATATATGGTTGTATACAAAGGCATCCAGCAGGGTCACTTAAGCATTCTCAACATACATATAAATATGGCAACCACTAACATGTATGTTGCCAAAAAGCATGAACAAACCTATATAACTGTGAGGCATATATACAGAACAAGAGTACATGACGAACTAACAACAGCATTATTTCTATATTCAAAAGAGATGAATGAATGAATATCTGATGTACATTACATAACATATATGATTATCGCTTTTCTCCATAGATTCAACCTCAATCGCGGGCCTCACGATCCTAAACACATGATCATCATCGCTGCGCAGATCAAGATTCCCTGCAACACACAAACAAATGAATAAAAGGATGTCATCAAGAATAAGTATTGTGCCTGATTCATGTCTAACAAATTAAAAGGCGTACCGTTGTTGAGGAGAGAAATGAGGAGGAGGGGGGCGAAGAAGAAACGAGACCCTTGAAGCCATTCTTATAAGCAATGCTCCCATCATGTTTGAAGAGCCCAAAGTTCCTCTCGGAAGTTGGCCCGGGCTTGAGATTTTCGTTGAACAAAGCGAAAATATAAGCCTTCACTGGGGTTTTCGGCCTGTACGGAGTCCCCTTCTTCTTCAGTAACCGTTTGCGCAAATTATTGTTGTAAGTCATAGCATTCTTGGTACTCGCACCAGCTTCGTCCCCATCCCCCTGCGAAGCCCATCCGGTTTCAGACACTATGACTTCCATTTTAGGGAACCCCACCTTCTCAAGGGCAACGTAGGACGCGTCCACCATGGCATCAAACATGTTGTCGTAGTGCAGCTTGGTTTTCGCGTCGCTGATGCCAGAGTTGGACTCAAAGAGCGCATACCGGAGGTTTATGTGGTCCGGGTCGTTCTTGTACGCGAGGAAGGGGTACGCGTTGATATAGAAAGGGGAGCGCGTGCGAGAAAAGAACTGGAGAAGTGGTTTGAGGACTGGGAGAAGGCTTTCCTTGAATGCCCCTTGTGAGGGAGGGTAGGTGCTCTCAAACACAGCTTCTGAATGTGGGCTTGACACTTCAATGGTTCTGGCTAGATGGAGGGATTGAAGCGCCGCGTAAATATTCTTTACCGCGGGTACTAAGACCTGCCAGAGTTGCATATCTCCTCCACCTAGGATCTCGTTCCCAACTGCGATTCCAACGATTTTTGTGCCCGGGAGAAAGGGCACCACGTTGTCCTTCACCCATTGGACTGCCCGATCCTTGCTTGAGCTCATGTCGGTCACCAACTCGTTGGGCAGCCCGATGATCAACTCAACTCCTGACCCGTTGAAGGCTTTCAACACCGTGTGGTCCGCGTCGTACAGCCTGATGTTCTTTATCTTGTTAGCTCGGAGTAAAGCCGCAACTTGTTCCGGTGGAGGAATGTTGTCTGATATTCTTCCATAGTTCACTCCATATGTCCCCACCATTCTACCTGCGACAACAACAATAACAACACTTATTAGCGGATTTAGTTTATCTGCAAGGTTCCGTTCACATTCATTTTGAGTGGCGACAGATGACACCGACTCAACTAAAGTATCTACGGTGCTCCCTTCAATTTCATCCTAAAAAAATTGTTGACTTTGGAGTCAAATTCAAGGGGTTGGGGGTGGGTTCGGGTCAGGCGGGGGTGGGGGTTTATCGGAGGGGTTAGGGGGTAGAAACCATCAATTTTGCAAATGGAACACCGTAGCTGCTTCAAAATAGCAATCCCACCGCAGTGTCAACGGTACTCAGTGTCACCTTGATGTATTCATTTTCGTTCAAAATAAGCATAAGATGATAAGGACAAAAACCAGCAGAATACCTTCCGAGAAGCAAAAGGCGAGGAGGAGAAAAGCAGAGACAACGAGAGGCACGGAGCGCATAGTTGTGTTGAAAGTTAGCGAAAGCGCCAATTCAGTGCAGAGACTCTTAGAACTAAAAAGGCCAGTTGCAGCAGGTAATAGGAAATATAAACATTTCCAGTTGGAAATATGTAATATAAATATGAACTAAAATGGGTATAGCAGGAGGTCATTTTATGCAATTCTTCTTCTTCAGGATTGACATAGACCAAACCAAGGGAGATTCCAAACCTTTGTCTGGAGACCAGTTGCCACCAAATCTTGGTCCCTTGAGACACAAACTTGAGATGTCTTGGGAAGTTAAATTAGATTCCAACCTTATAAATGGCTTTATTCCTTTTCTGATCTAAAAGTTTTGCCTCTTTTTCTGTTATTTTACATTCTTTTTCTTGCCCTACACTGTAGTATCTTGAAACCCTTCCAGCCCCACTTTTTATCTCCCCCAAGAAATTGATTATACACCCAACTACTTGTACCTGTTCTTTTCGCCTTAACTTTACATGGAATCTGAAGTCTTGTAACTGGAGTCTAAAACCTAAAAAAAACCAAGCCCTCAGTTCTAAGAAATTGGTTATATAGCACATCAGCAACAACTCAAACAAACACCCAAAATCTAACAGCGATAGTTACAACAACAGACAGCTCAAGCGAACGAACAAACCCTTTTTAAAAGGCTACTTATAACCATTATTACTGATGAGAAAACTAGAAATCAAGATTTCTAGTATTACAACATGAAATACATGTCACTAACATGTGGGATTATTATTACAGACTAAATTACTCCATTGTCATGACAGAGATCTGAAAACTACACATCTATAACACATATAGTGTATGACAGTCAGGTAATTACAGTCATCCAAACAACACACAGACAGGTAAATGTAATGAGGTAAAAAAAACACTCATCAGCAGCTGATGGGTTCAGGCTGACTAACAACTACACTGTTTTCTATCACTGCTTCTTTGTTGCTGTTATTATTATTATTGGTATCATTTTCGGTATCCTCTTTGTGATTCTTGGAGCTGTCTTCTTCGATTCCCTGGCTTTCCAGGGTTTCAACGGGTATCTCTTTGCTTGGAGTTAATGGGGAATCGTGTGCCTCCTCATCATCAGCTTTGTCATCCTCAGCAGTTCCCTCCTTCGGCTGGTTTTCCTTTCCAGCTGCTTCTACTTCTTCACCTTGACTGATCTTTTCATCAGTATTCTCAACCTCAACTGTTCCCTCATTCGATTCATCTTTCCCGGTGCCATTTTCGCCGGACTTGACCTCTGTCTGGTTTTCTTTTCCCGCAGCTGCTTCTTCACCTTGGCTAACCTCTGCCATGGTCTTTCCTTCTGCGCCTTTTGCATCTGTTTGGATCCCGGAAAAATACAGGGGAGTAAAAATGTGGGAACAATAAGTTCGGGAAAACTACAAGGAAAATGCAGGAGAAAATAAAAGATAAACTAAAACTCAATTGTAGTATTACAGATATTTATTCATAACTGATACTCATTTTTCTTATTTATATATACTCATTTGGAGTATTATAAAATGAGTAAGAAAGATATACAAAGTATACATATTTGAAAATAACAGATATGCTAAAACTCAATCGTACTATATAACTGATTAAGAAATCAAACTATATGTTGACATCTTTTATTTTGCATTTTACTACAACGTACGACCAATCACAGGCAAATAACTTTCTCTAGCATTATTTTTCTTTTCCCTTGCATTTTCCATGATCCAAACATACCATTATTCTCAGTGGACACCTCCTTAGGTGGCAATTCAAATTCTATCTTGTCATCCAGCAGCTGGCATTTTTCTTTTCCCTCGTTGGATTCATCTTTCCCAGCGCCATTTTCCTCGGACTTGACCAATGGCAGGTTTTCCCTACCAACAGCTGCTTCTTCGCCTTGGCTAACCTCTGCCGTAGTCTTTCTATCCTCAGTGCCTTTAGCATCTGTTTGGATCCCGGAAAATACAAGAGAGTAAAAACAGGTGAACAATAAGTTTGGGAAAATGAAAAGAAGAATGTGGGTGAACATAAAACATAGACTAGAACTCAATTCAAGTATTTCACATATTTATGATACTCATTACATATATATATATATAGTGTGTGTGTGTGTGTGAGTAATATCTAACTGATTAAGAAAACCAACTATATGTGACTTTTTTTTTGCATTTTACTGCAACGTAAGACCAATCACAAGAAAATACTCCCCCTGTCCCGGAATTATCTTCATGTTTCGGTTTAAGATGTCTAACTGAAGTTATTTTCAATTCAATTTATTTAATTATTGGCACAAAATTTTAAATAAAATTTATATTCAAAATCTACATCAAAAGGTGTACAAAACAAGAGGTAACAAAACTATTTTATTTGAACATGTTATCAATGAAAATATGAAAATAAAGAAGAAATGGTTTGAGCATATGAATAGTAACTTGGACGATAATTTGCTCCAAACAATTAGCATATTCCATGATCCAAACATACCATTATGCTCAGTGGACACCTCCTTAGGTGGCAATTGAACTTCTATCTTGTCCTCCATTTCTCCCTTGACTGCTTCAGCATCTCTCTCCTCCTCGCCGCCCTCTGGCTCATCTTCGGCCTCCTTGGTGTCCTTCTTTCTCCCATGGGAAGTCCGGCGCCGTTTCTTGTGTGTCTCAATCTCGGAAGTCAACGGAGGTCTTGACTTGCTCTTTTCAATGATCCTAGTTGACCTTCTAGGAGTCTCCCCAGTGCCCCAGTCGAACTCCGAAGATGCAGGGTTACCAGGGTGAGATTTTAGATACTGGTTTAACTGTCTCTTGTTGTTGATCTCCTCTCCTGTTGGAGAAACAAATACGACCTTCCCTCCTTCCGATGGCAGGTACTGCACATGAAAACATAAAGTGTCGGCAAGTTTGAGCGTTTGGTTGAGTCGGTTTCTTAAGAGACTCAAACACCACCCTTAGATATAGAGAACTCTTGGAACGTTTCCCTAAACCTTCCCTTCACTATGTACCATAACTAGCCAAAAAAAGGAGACATGTCTTCCATGTTGGAGTCGTTACTTCTTAGTTAGAGCATATAACCTCTTAATTGCAAAGAAACATTTGCATTAATGATTCCGCCTATTTCCCAATTAAGAACTTCCCTTTTCGTACTCCTAATGAGGGATTTGGAGGTCAGACACTGACCAAGCCAGTAACGGTGCCTGATGGACTAAGCTCGTACCCGTCTCTAAATCTTCACCACAGTTTCTAAATCTAGAGATCAAATTGGACCAGAATAAACTAGCTAACATCAAGGGCATGTACTCCCTGATTGATCCCAATAGACTTGTGGGAACATAAAACCTCCAACAACAAAAGGCCGTGTTTTTGGTAGAGTTAGGGTTTTGACAAATTCACAACTTCAAGTAATCATAGTTCTGGAAATGATCATTAACTGAGCAAGAAAAGTGATCCGCATGAACCCACGTTTTCCTAGCTAAAAACAACACAGGAATGAAAACTAGAAGTTCAAAATTAACAAAAAAAAAGAAACTTAAAAAAGAAGAGCAGAAATCAAGAAAGGGGTATGAAGAATTATTAAAGTAGTATATATATTGAGTAATAAAGAAAAACCAGTTTCTTCCAAGAAGAGGGCGCAGGAAGCTCAACGGAGATGAGCTGCTCATCATCATCTTGATTGTGAACCACCTTCTCTTCACAGCTTGCCATCTTCAAGCTCTCAAAACTCATGAAAAAACGCCCAAACTGAGTGGGTAAAGTGTTTCTCTCTCTAAAGATCAGATCTTTTTGGACTTTTTATTTTTTCCCGAGTGGTTGAATATTGGAACTCGGCTGGTGGAACTCTCACTCTGTTTTCTTTTTAATTAAATAATCAGAATTCATTTAAAATTGGAACTTACTCTGTTTTATCGATTGAATAAATTTTCCTTAGTAAAAACAAAAATAATTTGGATTACGGTAATTTAAAAATGATTTTTTTTTCCTTTTGAGTGCAAAAAACAAATGAGAAAATTGTTATGAAACCGAGAAGGTAACACCGTATAAAATTAAACAAATAATTCCCTCTGTGGATTTACTCTATATTAAATTTTTTTATTTTGAACAGTAAATTTGTTGTTAAAATGAATGTACGTGAGAGAAATAATGCAATTCATCCAAAATTTATCTTGAAGCGATCGGAAAATTTATTCTCAAAAAAGCAAAAAATACAAATTTTTTTTAAAAACCTAAGAGCACTGGTAATACATGTAACACCACTCGGCGTTATGCTACTTTTGAAGCCCAGGAGACGTTAAACACCGCCCCCATGGGGCTTCATCCGAGCTTCATCTCTTCTACTTCAAATGTTTAACGGGCTTCAAACTCTTCCCCCCTCCCCACTCTCTCTTTAAAAAAGTATACACAAACATAATTTTTTTTACTCTATATTTTTTTGTTTAATGTAATAATATTATTTTGTTCAAATTTTTTTTAGTAATGTAATTTTTTTTTTTTTATTAAATTTAACATACTTTTTTTATTGACTGTATTTTTTATTTGATGAATTATTTCAGTTTGCAATATTTTACTACAACTCGAATTTGAATGAAGATATTTTTAGTTGCTCGAATAATTAGTAATTTCTTTGTAGTGTTATTTTTTTATGAATGTGATATTTTTTTAATGAATGAAACTTTTTTATGAATGTATTCTTCTATGAATGTAATATTTTTTTAATGAATGTAATTTTTTTAATGTACTAATCTCCTTTTGATTAATTTAAATAATAAATTAATTATAATTTAATAATTTAAATTTAGAAAATGTATATTAAAAATGTAAAAAATGAAGGTTTGAAGCCTCTGTTTGAAGCCCCGGGGCTTCAAACCCATTTCCAGTGAATTTTTGGTATAAGTTAAAACTGACGTGGCAGAGAGAGAGTTTGAAGCCTTAGGACTTCACGAGTATTTCCAGTGCTCTAAGAGGTACTCCGTATTTTATAGGAATAAGAAAAAATTTGAGAATTTAATAAAAGGAAAGTGATTAATATTGTAGAAAAAGACGGCACGAAAGCGCTGCTCAACCGACACCTAACCGCGAAAAAAAGCCACGAATCCGATTTCCCCCGAGCCTTATCGGTTGTCCTTCTCCCATTCTCGCACGATACACTGATTTTCTAGATGGTACGAACGCGTTTGTTTTCCAAGAATACAATAAATCTAAAAAAACATTATTATCTCTCCAAGTATGTTTGTCTAGTTAGATTTTTTTGAATTAAATTTTATAAATTTTAAGCTCTCTAATTACTCTCAATTTGTAATATGTATTAGTACAATAAAATAAAATTTTTAAAATTTCCAACTAGATATATCTAATAAAAGTATTTTTGGACATATATATATTATCATTTTTGTTTAATTGAATCTTAAAATTCATCATGTATAACTCAAAAAAGTCAAAGTCAACAAATACACTGAGACAGAAGGGATACTACTTAATCCCAAAATAAGGTTCATAGTTTAAATTGACACAAAATTTTAAAAAAATAAAAATATATGATTGCAAGTGATGGAGCGAAGAGAGAAAACTTGTGAGCCACTCAAGCTTTTCCATAAAAAAAGAGAAGACGTTTTTTGGGACAAAAAATTGCTGCCAGGTACCCTATGTTTTATGGTAAGAACTCTCAGGTACTTTTAATTTTTAAAATATACTCTCAGTTACCCTGAATTATAAAAAATATACCAAGAGGAGATTTTCCATTCATTCTCCGTCTATCCCATTTTATCTGTCAAGTGCACCACCACCATCATCATCAGTCCACCACCACCATCCCCTTCTTCTTCTTCCTCTTTCCACTTTCCATTTTCCATACCCCCCCACCCTCACCCTTATTTCTTCTTCTTCTCATTCTATTATCGGCCCGGTTCTAGTGACACCGGAAAACGGTGCCACTGGATTTTTGGAACATCTCCGGTGCTTCGTTCGTAAAATTGACGGTTCCTACCCCCCTAACCCACCCCNAATCGTCAATTTTACGAACGGAGCACCGGAGGTGCCTCAATAACTCAGTGGCACCGTTTTCCGGTGTCACTGGAACCAGACTGTTCTATTATTATTATTATTATTATTAAGCATAATTACTATTTCATACTACCAAATCAGAACTATTAGACTCTTGGAGATATAATGAATATAAAACACTGAGCAAATATGTTCAAATAAAAATAATAAGTAAAGAGCCAGTAATAAATGAGTAATATGGAATTAAATAAAGCAAAAAAAATAACTTTTTAAGAAAGGATAAAACATCATGTAATGTTTTAGTGCATTTTTTTAGACAACGTTTTTGTGCAGGTGGAGCCGGGGGTCTCTTGGAAACAGCCTCCCTACTTCCGAGTAGGGGCAAGGTCTACGTGCACACACCCTTACCAGACCCTACTGTTGCGGGATTCACCTGAGTTGTTGTTGTTGTTGTGTTTTTTAAGACAACGTTTTGAGGAAAAAAATTGACATAGATGGTTGACTAATAAAAATTGTACGAAAATAATTATTGTACATAATGTGGACAATCATATTCTAAATATTTAATTTTGAGTTTTACATTTTAACATGAAATAATTTGTGTATAATTCGTTAAAAACTTGATTATAGTCATAGCTCATACAATCACCACATTGTTATGCAAAGTTTTAAGAAACTAATAAAAAGAAAATATTGTACGTTTTCCTAAAGTATAGATAAGGGTACTATATATTATTTCAAAAAAATTGTGTATGTAATTTTGTAAAAAATTTATCTAAATAGGACTAAAACATAATGACTTTCTCAATATAGGACTATATGTTTTTATTTTCAAATGTAGAACTTTTGGTCATTATCATGTAGTCATTATTCAAGTAAATGTTCATCATTAGAGGACATTATTCCTCCCACTAGGTCATTATTAAGTCCTATTTAGAAAATAAAAAAGTTTCAGTCCTACATTAGGAAAGTCATTATGTTTTAGTCATATTTAGTGCAAATTTTACAATTTTGTAATATACGAATCGTAAGTATCAAGATTTTCTTGCTATTATGGAAATCTTTTTCTTTAATTAATTGTAAGTATAAATACTATTTGCGTAAAAATGTCTTTATTTAAATTTGATACTACTTTTATGAAAACAAACACTCCTTCCTAACTAACCACGTGTGAGATGACTTGAAGAAATTTCGAGCACGAAATCTTATTAAGGGGAGAAGAAATGTAACACCCTGAAAATCGGTCTAGTAATATTAAAATTTTTACTACAAAATAAAATTTAAAAAAATTGGAAAATAAGATTTAAAATTTAATTATGAAAAAAAAGTTCCTTAAAAATATGTCACTATTCTTTATTTAAAAATAAGAAATTAGAATTCAAGCTTTAATGGTTAAACTATTAGAGGTGATGAGTAAAAGAAATAAAATAAATTTTGGTTCTCTACTATCCGAATAATATTATTTGTTCAAGTGAGCTTGTTTTTCTAGAAAAACAAACTGTATTTAGATAATGTGTGAGAAATATGGAACTTAACGGTATAAATTTTATATTTTTCTAAAAATATTTGGTAACTAAAATTGTGAAAATCAAACACGTAGTACTTAACCAATAGAGTAGAAAAATCTTTTGTTTCTTCCCTTCTACCGCCAAAGATTGTAATTCTTCCCCCATACATTTTTCATCATTAAGGAGGGTAATAATGAGTATTGGTTAAATATTTAATTAAATAAAATAATAAACAACCATCCACTTTCCCCTTCCCTTCACCTATAAATAAGGGCATAAGGTGGTAAGCTTAGGGCACTTCTTTTGGGGAGAGTGTTGGGAGGGCAACATAGCATGATAGCAGAAAGGATTTGCCAAAGTTCTGTTCGATCACCGTTTCATTGACAACATCAAAGGTGTGCCGTTGATTCTAACCTTTAGTCACATATTTCATGTTAATATATTTTGTGCATTTTTCCTATTGAATTTAAATAATATATATATATATATATATATATATATATATATATATATATATATATTGGTTCTGGTGAGAATGCAATCTTAGGAGAGAAATGAGAACGAATCTCGTGCTTTAGATTGTGAGATCTAAGGGTTAGGATTGCATCAAAATTAGGTGCACCAAAATGGTTTGAAAATGCATCATGTCGAAATGCACCAAAATCCTTTGAAAATGCAATATCTCAAAATCTGAGCGCAGGATGCAATCTGAGCCACATGATGAATCAGATCCAACGACTAGATTTCATTCTCATTTCTCTACACAAGGTGTATACCACGGGAACTAGCCCTATATGTATATGTTACGGTGAGAATGAGATCTTATGAAAGAAATAAAAATAATTGTTTGCCTTTGGATGGAGGTCTTCTCATCGGCATCAGATAGGGGCATATGTGTATTTTCTTTTTTTTCCCATTTAAGCTCCACAAAATCAGCGCAGGAAATCAAATCTCTTTCTCCATTATGGATTCTTATTACAGTACATAATCCCCAAATCAAGATCTCCAATTCCTTTTAGATCTCAGATCCAATATTTCACAGCTTCAACTCTTCCCTGGAATATTCTCGATGGAAGTGACTGAGCAGGCGGCATAGCAAAAAAACACATCATTCCGCCGAAAACAAGCAACGCTTTGTATCGACGGCGGCGACGGCAATCGAGAGACTTCTCTGTTTGCCTTCCACGCCTACATGACTACATGTCTAACTCTTTCATCAAACTTCTTTCTTCTTCTTTATTTTGTTTTACAATTTTAATTTAATTAATAAAATCAAAATTTTTAGTAAGTTTTGCCTTGTTCTGCGTATGCTCCACAAATTCATTCCGTTGTCACTGTTTCTAGAGTTTTTTTCTAGATGGATTTTTATTTGCTTTAAATGAGATTTCTTGCAGACCAATTTTATATTGTAAATACTTTCTACTTCATATTAGTTTTCAAAGAGGAGCAACTTAATATGATTGGTATTTGGTAATTTTATCCCATATGATTTGTTCTTGTTTAATCAAAAGGAAAAAAAGAAATTTTGTATTGGTATTTTTTCTATTATGTTTGTATATGTAATACATTGTGTTGTATTTTCTTTTATATGTATCTTTATGTATGACAAAGACCACATTCCTATCCTTTCCTTTTGTGAAGCATTTATGCAAGTAGGTTATGTTAATTTTGCATTCTTGCTAGCTTATATTAATATGACCTGTCTTGGCGGTGATTACTGTAATTACATACTTATCTCTTTATTTACTATTAAGATCAGTATACACCCATATTGCATTCTATTCATTTGATGTTGCTTATTATTGTTCATATGCATTTACATGAGAAGACAATGCATTCTCATACTCAAGGTAAAAGATAATGCATTCTCTTAATCTAAGACGATGCATTGATGATAAAATACTCATTGCACAAATATGATGCGCACGTGCACAAAACTTCCTTGATTCCCTCTAAATAACTAAAATAATTTGTCAAGTGCACCACAATTGCATGACTAATCATTAAAAAATGTGAAAGAAAGTGATGAAAAATAAAAAAACGGGGAATAATAGCATTTAAAAAGGGGAAAAAATTGTAAATCACGTATTATTTTTTTAAAATGTAAATAAATAAATCTCTTGCACAACGAGAAATGCACTAGCATTAAGGAAAAAGAAATAAAATATTACAAAAAGTTCAATAGTAAAAATTATTCATTAATGATTTATATAGAAGAAAAATGGTTTACAAATTTAAAAAAGAGAAAAAACATTAATACTCCGTATGAGAATTATTGAGCATTAATGAGGTGCATGATTTAAAAAAGAATGAAAAAATAAGACACCTCTTAATACTCCTATAATAATGGCACAATAAGTGGAACTTATGGTGCAGGATCCTTTGTGTCTCTCAAACTTACATTAACTAGTATTCCTACCTGTGCAATGCACGGGTTCGAACGAATATCTTACCGATTCTGAATTTATTCAATGCAATATTTTTTCCCGAAATAAAGAAAATATATCTCATGCATGATTTATAATAACACAGAAAAGAAAGGCAAAGTAAAAAGAATAATATTTGAGGAATTGAATCTACACATAACAAAGTTTGCTTTAATACCAAATTTTTTGAAAGATTTCAGGGTATACAACATTTTTGGTATGGCTGCAAGGATTTCCATTGTCATCTAAGACTAATATTTTTAATCATGTCTTTGTCTTCACTCGCGAAACAGCAATATAAAGCTGACAATGAGTGAACCCTAACTTGGTTAAAAATAATCCAACAAATGACAATGTTTGACCTTGACTTTTGTTAATAGTCATAGCAAAACATAAGACTATTGGAAATTGTCTTCTCTAGAACTTTAGAGGTAGTCCTGGATCAGACGGTACCAGATTCATCCGGGGTATGTAAACTTTTTCGCCCACTCGATTTCCCGAAACCACAATAGCACCAATAACATTCTTTCGCATCTCGTCAACAATTAATCTTGTACCATTACACAATCCAGATGTTTGGTCAATGTTCCTCAGTAACATAATTGGTACCCCTTTTTTAAAACTATCCTATGGTTTGAGATTCCCGAACATTTGATTTTATTAAAAAACTCAACTGTTATCCAGTCGCCATCAACACCTACATCTGAATCTGCTTTGCATGATGAATCAGAACTCAAGTACACCATTTCATCTCTGGGAATGAGGGATAAGACAAATTCATTTACCATTTCTACAACTTCGAGCGTGGGTGCTAGTAGTGCCCTGTCTTCAAAAAAAGAATAACTTCTCATATTCTCCAATAAGTTCGGATAAGTAAAGTCCACTATACTTTTGAGGGGTGAGCTGTTATCTATAATAAAAAATTCGAGAGGAATTTCAACGTCAGCAGTTCCATCAATCAATTGTTCAAGCTTTCCATCTCCAACTTTGATTATCCAATCAGAAAAATCTTGTGTGTCTCTTTCTACGCAAGAGAATGTTGATGAATGCAATCTCATATTCTTCGTCAACTTAAAAACTTTACAATAAGACCACAAATTTGAAGAATTAATGGTAGCACCTACAATTTCCTCTCTCGAAGCTCTGGTAAAACAGTAAGAATTTGTCTGAAATCACCTCCGAGTACAACCGTTTTTCCTCCAAATGGTTCATTTATTGAGTTTGGATTAGAGAACTTCATTAGATGTCTCATTGTGCGATCCAATGCCTCAAAAACAAATCTATTCATCATACATGCTTCATCCCATATGATTAAACTTGCATGTTGAATTAGTTCTGCTTTTGGGCTCCCTTGTTTGGTGGCACACGTTGAGCACTCTGTTAGCGCCAAAGGAATTGAAAATCTGGAGTGTGCTGTCCTTCCCCCAGGAAAAAGCAATGTTGCAATCCCACTGGATGCGACATTCAAGACAACTTTACCACTTGATCTTAGAGAAGCAGACAATGATTTCCAAAGAAATGTTTTTCCAGTTCCACCGCAATCATACACAAAAAAGAATCCTCCTTTTTCCAGCAGTCACAACTTCCATTATTTCATCGTATATCTTCCGCTGATCTTCATTCATCGTAGATAAGTATCCCATAAGATCAGATGACAACTTTTCTTTATCATAGTTCAACACCTCAACCAACAAATTGTTTTGAAATGTATTGAGTGGACTGTCATCTGGAAATGGCATAAAACTGAATTCCCTCAAAGACTGTCCATTTGAATTAAGCAACTTTTCAATCTCAATCAGACATAAATTCTTTACGCCTTCTTGAGAAATTATAAGCTTTGAAAACAGAAATAGAAATAATGGAACTTATTTAATTCTACAAAGTTCTGAATAAAAATTGTAGGTTTCAAGACAATGCATTATGTACGGATTAATATGTTAAAAAACTATTTCTCTATTGAAATACCTTGATTACGCAATAGTCTCCTTCGATCAAATAAAATTCCATCCACCAGGCGTTCCCATGATTTTTCCCAAACAACTTGCGGGCAACTCATGGTATTTGTCACTAATAATGTGACGAACAACTTTTTAAGCTGATTCTCAGAACCTAACTCAGCAGCTTCTTTTATACCTTCAATTAATTCCTTATCATTAGCAAGTAACACCAATGCATCACATGCATCCTTGAATGAGTTATACAGAACAATTTTAACTGTCTTCAAGCTTTTGTTGGAACACACTTTGTACGATAAACTAAGGTCGTGTTCATTTCTGACAGGTTTTGATAATTGCCAAACCGCCGTGGATATAAAGAGCTTCGTTGAATAACTCAAGACGTGAAGAATGGCTTGGAACAAGACCTAAAAGACTCAAGGACAAGATCAGGAATTGAAGACTTAGTCGAGTCGGTCTTTTGTGATCAAACCGATAATAAATTCAAGTCTCGGTTCTCAAAAAAAGTCAAAACAATTTTTACAAATCATAAAATATTTTTTGTGCATCAAAACAAACATTTTTGATGATTTCTTTTATTATTAAAATCCCTGGTCCTTGCTCAGAACCAAAACCACCTAAGTCGGCGTTCGGCTTTCGACGTTCGGCGTTCGGTTTTTCGCGCCCGAACCAACTCCGTGGTTTTTAATATTTTAAACCCTGTTTTTACCTCTGAGCATTTTTAAAATGTTCCCAAATAATTATTTTATAAAACCACTTTTGTATCTTGGTCAATCGGTCTAACACGTAAAACACGGTCTAAACCGTAAGCACGTATTATACGACCTTGGAGACTTGGTTTTTACCAAACAAGTCTTGTTTTCACTATTTTATACCATATACAATATTTTCCAAACCTGGTTTTTACTTTTGGGAACACTTCGTTTTTGGACCTCGGTTTTTCAAAACGGGTTTCTGCTGGCTAGACTTTAGCTGGGTGATAATCGATTATCACCTTAGTGACAATCGACTATCAGCCCCTACAGCTTTGAACTTCCAAAGTTCTGAAGCACGCAATAATCGATTATCAGCTTTGCGGTAATCGATTATCAGTCTTTGCAGCCAAAACCCAGAATCTTCTGAGAGGACCAATAATCGATTATCACTTGTTGACAATCGATTATATGGGTTACCGTTGTCCTCCAACGGATAGAATTATAAATTTTTGGACAGGGAATCTTTGGATAATCAATTATCAAGCTGTGACAATCGACTATCACCCTGTGTCTCTGAAAAATTCGTCTTCATCCTGTTGGAAACTCTAGCAACGGATTTATCCCATTTTGGGCTATAAAATGGCACCCAAATCCTCTCATTTTATACACAATTCTTCAACATTTCAATACTCCTTCATTGCATAAGCATTCCTATTTTTCTTAGTTATTTGAGAGCCAATTCTTGAAGAAATTGTCGTGTTCTTGAGCGTTTACTAGTTCACTCATATCTACTCTTTGTGAGAGTTTTATTCCTGAGTGTTTAAGTGTCTTCATACACTTTAAGGGAGGTTGTTCCCTTGTTGTAAACTCGAAGGAAATTACTTGTTCCTTCGTGAGAAGTCTTGGAGTGCGGTATCTCCGAGTAAAGNTACACATATTGGAAGGAGCGAATGAGAATTTTCATCCAATCCAACAACTTTCTCCTATGGAGAATTATCAAGAATGGGGAAGAAGTACCCATGAAGAAAGTTGGGGAAACCACCGTTCCCAAAACCGAAGATGAATACGATGCGCAGGATATCAAGAAAATAGAGAACAACGCCAAGGCGATCAACATTCTTTATTGTGCAGTAAACCCGGATGACTACCGGAAGATCTCTTGTTGTTCCACCGCCAAGGAAATGTGGGACAAGCTAGAAATCACATATGAAGGTACGGATCAAGCCCGAGAAGCTAAGATAGATTTTCTAACCCATGAGTATGAACTATTTCATATGAAGGAGAACGAGAAAATCGACGATATGTTTGAACGATTTTCAAAAATCGTAAACGATCTTCATGCTCTCAAGAAGACATATACGGACAAGGAGCTTGTAAGAAAAATCTTGCGGAGTCTCACACCGGAATGGCGCTCCAAAGCCGATGCTATCCAAGAATCCATCGGCATCACCAGTGTCACCATTGACGGACTTAGAGGTAACCTCAAAACCTATGAGTCTACCATTCTTTACCCCTCTTTAGGTGAATAAAAGAAGAATGAGATTGCACTCAAGGCGTCCACAAGTCAAGAACGTGATGTGGAGGACTCAAGTGACAAAGACGAGTTCGGGATCGTGCTCAAGAAATTCCATAAGTTCATGAGCCAAGAGTATGAACGGAAAGGAAAGAAGCAAGGAAGTCCACCCAAATGCTATGGGTGTGGAGAAGTTGGGCATATAAAACCAAAATGTCCAAACGCCAAGAACAAGAATAAAATGTTCAAAAAGCACCGAGCCTACATCTCATGGGGAGGTGATTCCGGCGACGAGTCATCGGAAGGCAAAGAAAATGAGAGCGCCAACCTTTGTCTCATGGCACACGAGGAACCACCGGAAGAGGTATGTACCACTTCTAAAGATTCCTATACTTTTGATGATGTACAAGAAGCCTTTAATGAACTTTTTGATGAATATGTCAACGCTTCTAAAATTAACAAGGATTTGAGGAAACAACTTACTTCCATGGAGAAGGAAGTCAATAAACTATCAAAAGATAATGAAAAACTTAAAGAAGAAAATAAGTTTTTCGGAAAAAGAAGCGCCGACAAACCGGAAAGTTCAAAATGTAGTTCTTGTATATCACTTAAGGATCAAGTTGCAAAACTTGAAGGAACTTTGAAGAAGTTTGGTGTTTCTCATAAAAACCTTAATGATGTTCTTGATAATTTGAAACTTACTAAATATGGCTTAGGATTTGAAAATGAACCTAATAATAAGGAAAAAGTTGAGCAACCATCTAGGAAACCTAAAGCTCAACTTAGGAATAATGAAAATCAAGAAAATAGACAACCTAGAACAATTAGGAACACTAGACTACCTAGAAAGAACACTAGGATGAACAATGATCAAGTTAGAAAACCTAGCAACTATTATCAACCTAGGAGAATGCATAATCCAAATGTTGTTTGTCATTATTGCAATAGGGTAGGTAATATAGCACCCGTGTGCTTTAGTAGGCATAGGCATTACATGTATAACAAAACAAACACTTTGCATGGAACTAACCGAATGAAATCCTTTCAAAAAGGATATTCGAACTCTAACCAATCCCTGCAGGAATCAACGCAATAGAAACCATATTACTTCTTCTATTATGATGAAAAGAAGAAGATTCACATACCACTTCCGGAACCCACACAAATCAAACCGAGGTATAGACATTCGGTTCGAGTAGACTGGAACCCGGGTTGGCGTTTTGCTGCTCAACCGGTTCCATTGTGAATTTGTGCGTACAACCATGTACACACACACACACACACAAACGCATGGTACACATACACTAATACCCACGCACACAAATAATCAAATTTTTCAGCACAATGATTAGGAGTTCCTGGGTTTTCTAGTTTGCCCATGGTTTTACAAAAGTAACATCCACAATTTCCCAGGGGGAACAAAAGAGATCGATTTTAAGTTCCCAGGACTGAGTGTAAATCGATTTACAACCTTGAGATAATCGATTATCACTGTCCGCAGAAGTTTGGAGCAAATCCATCGCAAAACCTCAACAATCGATTTTCCAAGTCATGATAATCGATTATATAGCTGCAGAACTTTATTTGAAGTCAGGCGCAAAACAATCGATTGACTAAAACAAGGCAATCGACTATTGAAGTCTGCAGATCTTTCGGCGGAGAATCTGAAGACTCAGATAATCGATGTACACATTGGGTAAATCGATTATCAACGGCGATTTTTTAAAAATTCTGACCGTTGCAGAGACGTTGGAGAGCAATTAATGCCTGTTTGACCACCTCTACGAATCTCCAAAGCTTCTACTCTATAAATTGGTGATATCTACTCAATATTTACTCATTCCAATCATCTCTTCTCCATATATTCATCTTAATTCATCATTCTTGCTAGAGGAGAACCTAGTTCTTCCCCCACCACAACCTCTTCGTTAGGTCACTCCAGTGAGTTGGTGCGACTCTCGTTAGTCCACTGCTCCAGACTCGTGTAGTATGCTCCTTCATGCTCCAAGGGAGGCAAGTGTTCATCTTGCACGCTCTTCCAAGCTGCATAATGCCACTTGTGGATTGGGCATGGAGCATCCAAGTCTACCTCTCTGGAGGGTAAACAGTTGGCTAAAAGTGCCTTGGACGCCACGCTAAAGTCATCATAGGGATTTGGTGGAATGGACAGCGGTTTAACTGAGGGCCACCACCAACGAGGCAACCGGCGGCAGAATTCGTAGGGGTCTAGCCTCCCCCCAATCGTTGGAATTGAAAGACTTGGGGGAAGAGGCAGACTTCGGGGAAGAAGGGGAAGGCCCATCGGAAAGATTTAATGTAACACCCTAATCCGTCCAGGTCTGCAGCCCCTTTCGGACTTAAGTATTGATTTGGTAATTGTGATAATCATAACATTTTTATTCATTATAAATAATATCTCATACATAACTGTAGAGAAATACGGAGTGTTTAAATAAAATGCGGAAGTAATTTAGATCATTTCTCATAACAATATAATTTAAACATTTAAAATCATGTATCCACCACGACCACCTCGCCCCCTTTTACTGCTAGAAACACGTCAATCATTCATCCTACATACCTGCGTGTAGGAAATAAAACACACTACACGCTCAGCGGTGAAGCTGAGTAAGCATATCTAACACGTCGAACATCCACATAAATTGAATCTCAATTCACAAACAACCATTTGATATCATGCACACAATATATAAGTCATTCATGATATTCTCAATATTTTTATTTCAATATTTCAATAATCAACATTCATATTCAATATTCAATATTCAACAATATCCTTAAACTATGCTTAGTCTAAGGCCAATCTTTTTTATGTTTACCAACTCTTAAACTAATTCTAGTTCAAGGTACTTCTATCCAACTCTTAAGCTAGGTCATTAGTTTAAGGTACATATATTACGATTGATTTACCAACTCTTAAACTAGCCTTCGCTTAAGGTACAAATCCAGAAAACCGAACAGTAGAATACTAACTGTCGGGTTGGGTGGTATCCCCAAACGAGTTCCTCTAGTTTGGTTTATGTATTCCGCATGTACGTTTTTACCCAAGGCCACCGAATATACATATTTATACCCGCAAGGCCCAATCTAATTTGAGGTGTATCTTAGAGGTCTTCGAGATAGCCTTAACAATACACCGATTTCATTATCATCATTATATTCATTTTTAATCATGATTTAATCATTAATAATCATCCTAATCAGTAGGTTTATCATTCATAATCATCTATAATAATTATCCATCATAATGATCATTCAACATACCATTTAATAACAAGTAGCGGCCTAGTCTCGAGTGTTAACACCCGAACTTACCGTCATGCATCACATAATGTTTTAATTTGTTAAAAACATCATTTTTATTGTGAAAAATAATTTTTATAATAATCATAATCAATTAGTATCAAAAATAGGATTTTAGAGCTCAAAAATATCAATTTAAGACAAATTTTCGGAGGATCGATCCAGTAGTCTGGATCGATCAAGATTGTAAAAGATTTGCCCAGGTGATCGATCCAACTGATATGATCGATCCACCTTGCAAGTTTTCAGCTCCTGTTCATCTTCTTCAACCTCTCGGATCCAATTTTGAAAATACCATTTTTAGTTACCGAACTTCGTAAAAACTATATGGAAATGTTCTCCAAGGTTCATAGATCATTTTAGCATCATTAAACGACCGTTTATGAACATAAAAACGATCTATACAAATATTCTAGTCATTAGATATATCTACGTGCTTACCCTGAAGCTTAACGGAGGATTTCAAGATTTTCTAGCGATATTTCCGGTGAGGATTGTGGCTATCTCCGGTGACAGGAAGCTCTCTTGACAGTACTACTTCACTCTCTACACTCTCAACTATCTCTTGGAAGAAGAATGGTGAAAAATGGTGAAGTTTAGAGAGGTTTATATAGTGGAGTGGAGAGGAAGAAGACACAGGTTTGGTGACATCCGTTTCACTGTTCTGGCGTCTCGGTGGAGGGAGCGGCGATTGCTAGGATTTCCAGACGCAAGTCCCCGATTGGGACTAATTTGGTCCCAGTCAGGAAACACTTTTTGGTCCAACTTTTCCCGAATTGAAATCCAATTGAACCGTTGGAATCAGACAGTTAAACTCTACATAACGATATAATTTTTATTATTTATTGACCAACTTTATAATTCACATATTTTTGGGTCCTTCTCAATAATTAATTAATTATCAATTAATTAATTCTGATAGGCCTATTTTCGGGGCGTTACATTTCTCTCCCTCTTAAAATAATTTCGCCCTCGAAATTACCTGAGTCATTGATTGAAGAGATTCGGATATTGTGTTCTCATTGACTCTTCGGTTTCCCATGTTGCCTCTTCAGTCGAGTGATTCCTTCATAGTACTTTGACTAGAGGCACAGATTTAATTCTTAGTTCTTTGATTTCACGTGCCAAAATTTGGACAGGTTCTTCTTCATACGTCAGATTTTCGTCAAACGTTACAGTTCCATCAGTCAAGATGTGTGATGGGTCAGAATGGTATCTTTTCAGCATAGATACATGGAATACGTCATGAATCTTGTACAGTTCTGGTGGAAGTTCTAACCGATAGGCTACTGGACCTACCCGTTTTGTGATTCGGTATGGTCCAATATACCTTGGACTCAATTTTTTTTTCCTACCAAAACATAATACTTTCTTCCATCGTGAGACTTTCAGGAATACTTTGTCATCAACGTTGTATTCAATCTCACAATGTTTCAAGTTAGCATAAGATTTTTGTCGATCGGAAGCCACTTACAGTCTTTCTCTAATTAGACGAACCTTTTCTTCAGTTTCGCGGACGAGATCAGGTCCTTAAAGCTTTTGCTCGCTTAACTCTGTCCAGCATTTTGGGGTTCTACAACGTCTTTCATACAAGGCTTCGTATGGGGCCATTTGGATACTCGCTTGATAACTGTTGTTATAACAAAACTCCATTAACGGTAAGTATTGTTTCCAGTTGCTTCCAAAATCAATTACACATGCCCTCATCATATCTTCCAGAATTTGAATTGTTCTTTCAGATTATCCTTCAATTTCAGGATGAAATGCCGTACTAAAGTTGAGTTTAGTACCTAAGGCTTTCT